ACTTTGATAAAGATATATGCGGCAAACCAAAAAATGTATGGTTCATGGAAAAAAAATTTATACAAATATTTTTTTTTTTATTAATAAATAAATATATGATTAAACATACCAAAATCCGAAAATTGGTAAACTTTGGAGACAAAAACAAAAAAACATCTTGAAAGTTCGTGAAATTTTTTTTTTGGTTATGGTAGTTTGGACCTTCTACTAACAGAAACAATCGAAATCTCTTCCAACTTTTTCCAATATTTGAAAATTTTCAATTTTGAAAAAGTGACTAAATGCCTTTTTTTGGTATTATTTTAGCTGATCTATATTTACAATACTTTTTCTGAATGCCCTAAGATCTAAATTTTTGGTTCGCTTTTCAAAAATAAGGTGTTGAATTAAAGCTAAAAGTGCAAAAAAAAAAAAATTAAGAGGTACAGGGTGCTTTGAAATGAAAAAAATTATCAGCTAATTAAAATACTTAAATATGCATCACGGTATGGGAGCCAAAAACAAAGGTATACGAAGATTTACATATATATATATATACATATATATATATATATATAGAGCAATGACACCAGTTTACAAATAATATGTTAACCAATTCGGGTAAGGAAATAAATGCAATCGAGACACCTTACAGCGCCCAATGATTAGACGAAAGGCGAACAAAAAGAAAATAAAAATAAATAACATACCTATTACTCTTCATCTGCATAAAGAGTACTATTTTGCTTAAGCAGCAAACAAAAACAGCTTGCGAAAATGATAGTACAAATGTATGCACATCAGGGAGGTCCAATTTTTTTAAATATTTTTTTTTTGATTGAGTCTTTTTATAATTTTGTTCACCTAACTAATTACATTACCTGTGCAAAAATTTCAACGTTTTACTACTAGTGGAAAATGTTGCTCAACGCGAGTTTAAAATTTCATGAATTTTTCTCTGGTGCTAAGAGTCCTCTCTTGTGGAAAACAAATAAAAACCCAAGAGTTTAGTGTTTTGTTGAACGAAACAAGAGAGTTATACCTTAGAAATTATGGTTGGTATAACATGCCAAGTTCAGTGCATAAAGTTTTAGTACATGGATGTGATGTAATTAAATACTTTGATTTACCAATAGGTAATGATTTTAAAGCTATGTTTTCATTTATTTTCTTAATCTGTATTTCCACCTATTTTATCAGGTTCATTATCAGAAGAAGCCTTAGAATGTTCACACAAAAACATAAGAAAATATCGGCTTAATCATTCTCGAAAAACTGGAAGAGTACAAAGCAATACGGATTTAATGACTCGTTTGATATTATCGTCAGATCCATTAGTTGCATTTAAAAGAAATATAAAACAGAGAAACAAATATTTAAAGGGTTCTGATCTCAGCTTTAATAAATACATTGTTGAAAGTGACGAAGCAGACAAAAGCATGGAATCATTTGAATCAGTGATCACTTCCTCCTCTTCTGAGGACACTGAAACTGAGTGATTATAACAACTAGTTCGGTTTTTATTAACATATTATATGTTATTACCATATAACAGTTATTATTACTTACTTACTTAACAGTGATTATGCTTTATTTTAAATGAAATCAAAAGAATTTTTTTTTCTAAAGGTTAACATGTAAGGAAAACCGACTTAATTTTTCAAATTACCATATTGTATTCACTTAGGAAGTAAAGTTTAGACGAATTTTGACTATTAAGACTATTTTTCTGAACACTTAGCAACAATGATATGCCATATTTCATTTTTAAATAATCATGTGCAAAAACTCGGTGTTTTTTTAATGGGTACCCGTTACAAAAAAACCGATTACTTTCTTAAAATTAGAGTAATATAGACACTTCAGATGTAAAGTTTCAATAAATTCTGACGACTCCTTCCGGTTTTCGTAAACACCACAATCAGCAATGATTATGCCTCATTTGTCTTTCATATAGTAATGTAAAAAAAAATCTTTTTTTTTTAATGGGTACCCGGTACCGAAAAATCGATTTCAGTTTTGAAATAAGCATGGCTTAGTCCTTTTAGGTGTAAAGTTTCAACAAGTTCTGAATACTATTTCGGTTTTTATAAACATATGTCTACGATGATTATGAGTTATATTACCTTTTTATAAAATTGTAAAAAAAAAATTTTTTTAATTAAATGGTAACAGATGCTGAAAAACGTTTTTTTTTTCTTAAATTGCGGTGATATAGTCCTTTCAGGTGTAAAGTTTCAGCCCATTCTGATGCCTCCTTCCACTTATATCAGCACATGTCCACAATGACTATTTTCATATAAAAATGCAAGAAAAACTCGGTTTTCTCAAAATGAGTAACCGGTACAGAAAAACCGATTTCATTTTTGAAATTAGAGAGGCATAATACTTCTAGGTGTGAAGTTTCAGCCAATTCTGACCACTCCTTCTATTTTTGTCCATCATTTGTATGGAGTCGCGGCACTGTGCGTCGATTCGACGAAGCTAAATAGAATTGTGGCATGAAAAAAAAAAACAAATAAATACAAATTACGATTCCCGCTGTATAATTATATCAGTGAAAAAGCCAACTCAATTAAGATAAATTTTCAAAATTTGCAAAAAATTGTTTTTGAATCAAACTAATTCAAATGGCATCGCAAAAAATTTATAAATTAGTAGTATTTCATGTATGTATGCAACATATGTGCAACTAAAATAATTTTGACTTATTTAATGGGCGACTACCCTAATAAAAATACTTTTAATCTAAATCTTTCTTAAAACTATTTCTGTTGACACCAATAGTGAAACAATTCACGTAACTTGTGTGTAGGTTATTTAAATTTGGCTCGAAAAGGGTCACAATCATCCTCTTCAAAAATATATTCAAACTAAAAAATGGAAGAGATAACAGTAGGGTGGTTTTTTATGTACAAGAAATTATTGCCATTTTGAATGACTATTCAGTTCACACCGTTTACTGTTTCTGTATTGTGAAACATTTCAATGTTTACCAGCAGAAAAGTAATTAAACTGATAAATTAAGCTCATGAAAGTTTAAAAACTTAAAAAAAAAATTCCTAATATTCGCCATAGTTATAAGCGATTCGAGCGATTCGTGTGTGTGCCGAATTTTGTAAATCCGTCCAGTCGTTTCTAACTTCAAAAAATAAAGGCATATTGCATATCTACAGGCCAAACATTTAATTTCAACAGTTCATTTTTGAGATTCGAACAAACCGTGCATATCTGATGACCTTCACAAAAAATGCTCATTATACATATATATTCAGTTAGATAGATATGACGAAAAGGTGGCAACCCTAATAAAAAATAATTTCAAACTAAAGCTTTCTTGAAACATTCCTTTGGCACTCACATCTTAGTAGTTCATATAACTTGTGTATATTTTAATTAAATTCGACAAGCAGATGGCAGCTCTCTTCAAAATATTTTCAAACCAAACCATTATAATCTTTCGTCTGACATTGTAATGCATAATTCCGTCAAGTTGAATTAGACTTTTTAAACAGGTGGCAGCTCTCCCGCATGTAGTTTAGAAATAAAGCCCTTTCAAACCAATTTCGGCTGAGAGAAATATTGTGACAATTAATTTAACTTATTAAATAATTTCAATATAGCTTTCAACAGGTGGCAAACCCTTTTCAATACTATAAGATGTGGTTGTATATCTACAGACCAAAGTCCCTTAATTTGAAATCTAATATGTATATACAGAAGATTGTTCCTGAAAGCCAGGTAGCTCCCAAATTAAAAAAAAAAATGTACTGAACTCCGCTGATCTCTAACCGAGCTGCCATACGGACAAATTGTTAAACCGCAAATACTCACGATCTTAGTTTTATAGCCCAATTCTGTATCGGTGACAAAAGTTTTTTTTATTGACAAATTTAAACTTTTTCATACATTTTTCCGTAAAAGTAAATTGTGACAAGAATTGATACACTGACACAGAGTACAGAATAGAGCCGTTAGTCTCGCAGGATTGACACGTATCTTATTTGTTTCGCTGTTATTGAAAACTTGTACTCAATAGTAAAAGCATAAAATAAGGCATAGATAGTACAGTAAAACCTTGATATAACGAAGTTGAAGAGGTTGGGCAAATGCTTCATTTCACCTATAGTTTCGGTATATTTATAGAATATGAAAACCTGAGTTCGTGTTTTTATTTATAACGGGACTCCCACAGTCAACGTATTCAGAATTCGTTATGTAGAGGCTTTTGAGTCTAACGGAACTTCAATCGTCAATATATTCCGAAAGATCTCAGGCTCCAAACTTCGTCGCTATATCTATGAAGCATTTTTGTATGGAAAATATCGCAACAATTAGGTTTTTTTTCTGGGGACGCAGCAAACATTTTGTTATATAGAATTTTTCGTTTTAGCAAGATTCGTTACATCGAGGTTTCACTGTAAATAATTCAAGTTATGAATCACCTATTACGATGGTCAAGAATCCGAGAGAAACCTCAGACTAGGTAAACTCAACTACGAAATTTTGGACTTCAACAAAGATTTTACTAGACTAGAGTATGAAGTAGATACCTTCTGAACAAATTCGCCATCTTTTAACGTCGAAAATAATCCCTCCGAGATTTCAATAGTTAGCAGACTGGGCCGGATTAACTCTACTCGAAATCACACGAAACTTAACTGCATTCGATAACGGGAACGCTTCGAAAATTTAAATTGTATTATTTATCCCGGAAGGGGGGCTGCTATGCTGACTAAGCATTCTCTCTTATTATGCATGACCTTCTTTCTCTGCTATTTGGGGCTGGAGCGTTTGCGTTCATTCCCAGTCGCAGCGGCAAATATTTTTTGTCACTGTTCTATGCCTATGTATATCCCCGTGAAGTTCATACAACTCATTGTTCCATGAAATTACTATTTGTTTTAAAACAAAATTAATAAATGAATTATTGGCGCGCAAACGTTTGCTGTGCTTGGTTGCGCTTCTTCTGCGATTTGTGGTGTGCGACTTGATGCTGTCACACAAGGAGTAGGGACCTACAGTTTCACGCCGCTTCCGAACGGTGATTATATCTTTATGAGAAGCTGCTTTTATGGCGGGAATACACACGGAAATTTTTCATTGCCGAGGGGTGACCGCTATTAGACTTTTTGGTTTATTTTGGATGTTACTCGTACCAGAGTCGAACCCTTGATCTACCGAGGAAAGTGCGCACCTCTAACCATAATACTAAATTATGTCCTCTAATACTCTACACGTTCTTCCATACCAAGCTTGCAAAAGGTAGAACAAGCAATTCGGTAGATGAGGTCGAGGATGTTGCATGCTCTTATAAGAAAATTGGGTCTAAGTTATTTAGTTCTGCAGTACAGCATACGATTAAAGAAGTTGCACGAAAGAGGAGGAATCTGTCTGAAACCTTTCTCGTCTCCGAAGGTTCTTCGCTATTCGGATAAAACGGGGATATGAATTCCAGATATCGCGGCGTATCAACAACTGCTTTGTCTGGTATCAAAGACGGCTTTAAATATGAGAAAAGATATGGTCTATGGTAGATGTACCAGCTGTAAAGCCACACTGATATGGTCCAATTAGTTCACTGATGGTAGGCTTTAGCCTGCTGGGCGTTGATCACTAGGCCTGCGTGGTTGTCCTTACCGAAATTCGCAATCGCCTTAAAACCTTATGTAAATCGCCAAACTTTTCGATATTCTTTTCGAGAATTTTTCATCTTGGCAAGCATTACGCGCTCACGCTTTTCGGCCGCTCTCCTCTTATTGCAGAAAATAGGTCTCGCTTCCCTGTTCAGAACCCTTTAACGAGTCCACATAATTCGTGTTGCGCCCGTTTGCAGCGTTGGTGTTGGCATCTTTTTTCCTTGAAACAAGATGCTAATCGTCGTCGTCGTAGTGGTTCTTATGCAAATTGATGTTATTATGTAAATCATTAGTCACCGAAGTTTTGATCGTTGTACGAATGCCTTTATTCAAATATAATTTCCATTTTTTTTTTAAGTATACTTTGTTAACTAAAATTCGAATAATGATCTTCTTGCAGTTTCCTTGTTTCATTCCTCGTCGATGCGCGTGGCGGTGCTATGCGTGGTTGCCGCCACAGTGGTGTACGCATGATTATACCATCGCGTTCCACTTGTCAACCGACTCGTGTCACATGTCGATATGTTAAACCACAACGCACTATGCATCCACCACAGCTAATGGAGGGTGAAGCTTTGGCTAGCCGTGTGTTGGAACTTGGGCCAGTCTCGACCAAATTTATTGGCCCCGTCATCATGGAGGTGCCACATTTCGCTTCATTGCGCGGCAAAGAGCGTGAAATTATCATATTGCGCTCGGATAATGGAGAAACCTGGCGAGAGCATGCAATTGATAATTCGGAAGAAATCATACACGATGTAATGCAACAATGTTTCGAACCCGAAGGTAAGTATAACGGATAATATGTACTTACTAAATATCTATAAAAATTGTGCCTCAAAAATTTCCAAGTAATAGTTGATTTTTTGTCTACAGAAATTGCACAACTTGAGGAGCAAGCTGGAAATCATGTTTGCCGTTTTGTTACCTATGATTTTCCACAATACTTTGCTGTAGTCTCGCGTATACGCCAAGAGGTGCACGCCATCGGACCAGAGGGTGGCATGGTATCCAGCACTGTGGTGCCACAAGTGCAGGCCGTTTTCCCGCAAGGTGCACTCACCAAAAAGATCAAAGTTGGCTTGCAGGTAAATCTCTTTAAACCGCGCAAAGGTGTTGCACCAGAAAAGTTACGTAAAATCAGCGTCAATCATGTACCAAAGAAGAAGCGCTTCTCACTTATTTGGTAAATTAAGAAAATGCCTAAATGAGACGCATACAAAAATAGAGAACAAGATCAAATAATTAAGTATCTACTAGCACTAAATAGTAAACGATTGATCTATGCATATTTGAAAGGAAATATCAATAACAATAACTTATTTATCAAAATATTTACCTAAGTAGATATAACAGAGAGGCGTTTGTATGCCAATAAAAAGCCAAAAAAAAAAAACAAAAAAAGGAAAATCAACCAATTTGCATTTATAAAAAGAAAAACTAACATTATTGCATTATGAAGCCAAACATAAATTTTTTTCGAGCCACTTAAAAGTAGCATAAATGGAACACAGCAGTGTGAAAAAGTAATTCGAAGTACAGGAAATACCAGAATATAAAAACTTTGGTCTACAACTCTTAATTAATATCGATTAAAATGAAAACATATGGCTTCATACTAATTCTTTCTGTATCACAAGCAGCACACTGAGTTTATTATGAAAATGCACTGATTTTTTTTGAGTACTCTTAGCATACAAAAAAAAAGCACTGCTATGCAGGGAAAATAGTTGAGGAAACCTGGGTTGGTTTTCAAAGGCTACTGTTAATTAGTTAAAACTAAAATTTATAATTTTATGATGTCAGTTTGTTCAAATTTAGTTAGTAGTACTTCTAGTATTTTAAAATAATTAAAACTTTGAAATGCGGCCAGCGTCAAGGTTTTTGTTTGATAGCACCGAATCAGGCCTTGGTAATGGTGAACTTTAATATGCTAGTACTTAATTAGTTTCCCTATCTAGGATCGGTCTTAACAAAACATCGCCAGGCACTTGCCTAGTTAAGCTTAACTGAAATTACCACTTCTCAATACTATGAACAATGTGCTCAGGAGGGAAAGGAGGACACTGGGGAATAGTTCGGAAGGAATGCTTCAGGCAAAAAGTTTATTGGGATGGTAAGAGTGGTTAAGAGTGGATTCCAAAACTTAATTAACCTCCCAAAAGAGAAGCGTGTAATACTCTAACATGTATGCGTACTGGACACTGCAGACTAAGAGGACATCTATACAAGCTGGGGAAATGGTCGAATGATCTCTGCCAGTTCTGCGACACGACTAGCGAGACACCAATACACATCCTCACAGAGTGTGATGTAGTCTGTATAAGACATGAAAGAAGTTTAGAGGAAGCATGTAGCCACAGCTTAAGCACATTCACTCGCTATCCCCGATAAAGCTGCTGAAATTTTTGATGGATATAGGTTTAGAAGAAGTATTGTGAAGAGTAGAGGGCAAAATTGATTACCGAGTCGCGGACCACACCTAATTTTAATATTAATCTAGCTAACTTGCGAATACCGAATTCGATTGAATTGTGCTGGTACTAACCAGATTTCGCTCGCCAATATAGCTCTTAGCAACTGCTTTACCCTGTCTAATAGAGCCCGAACTCATTTAATTATAGAAATGTAGCCAAAAAAAGTTTTTTTTAACGAGGTATACGTAAGGCAATTTTCACCAGGAATCTGAAATTACTTCATAGAAAAACTGAACGAAAATCTCTGAAGCGACTGGCTCAAATTGCTTTATAGCGTCTCAGCAGAGCGTACGGTATTCCTCTCGCTGTGCACTGCCTAATTTGATTTACTTTTCCGTTACCTATCGTTTAGTAAATTCCGGGCTCACAGTAATCGTTTAACCTTGGACTAAATGCAAAGGTAATTAGCGATGTACAGCAAATATCTTTGTCATGAAAGAAGAAAAATGGCTGAGGCTAAAAAAAACTACATAAAGCTTTTCCATTTTTAAGTGAAAGAGCACAAACAAATTAAGCAGAAAACCCCAGATGTATAACATACTTAGGGTTATCCATTTTCTCCTTGCGAAAGTAAAAAGTAAAAAAAGATACTGAATTTTGAAATTTCGATGGAATTTGTGTTTCTTATTAAAGTTTTGATTGATCTCCAACTCTTTTTAAGGTAAGGAATATATTTTCATACGGTTCGTGCTATAACTCGGCCATTAACTGAAGTATCTAGCCCCTCAATAGCGCCACAGTCCTGGAATTTTTTGCATAAGCCCTATTTTACACATCGCCAAATAAAAAGTAATCTAAAGGCGTTAAATAGCAGAAGCTTGTTGCCCAGCCATATCCCGCGTCTTGGAAATTTCTTAATAGAGCCATTACGCGGCCAAAGTGGCTTATGGTGTTTTCCTTTCTACAAACAATGTTGCCTTTTCATTGCCCTCTCCTTAGTACTTGTGCGAAGCGGGCACTGATAAGGCAACATTTTTCGGTAGAAAAGGAAACGCCATTAGTCTTGTTGAAACCACCTTTAATCTTGTTCAATTTCGGGCCAAAAAAGGCCATTTATCAGGAAATGCGGCTCACAGTCGGAGGTGCCCATATAAGCTGCGACAAGAAGTATTAAACGCTTTTAAATTTTACTGAAATATTTTTCATGTAGTAATTTTGCTTAGGAATAAAGAAATATGAAAAATGTCGGCCAACGGCCACGCCCACTACACAAGTGGGCCGAAATGTTACATGCTATCCGATTTCAAGCAAGTTTCTGTCTTAGTTTTAACTATAAAAACTGGAATTCGAAAGATGGTAGAAATCGACCTACTGCCACCCTCACGAGCCATGCAAAAACCAAACTTTATAAAAATCGAATACCATATATAATTTCTGCCCCATAATACATATATATAGCGGGCGTGGACTAAGTAATATATACCGAATTTCATTAATACATTTTGCAGCAGCTTATATGGGGTCTGTCAGTGTGAAACGATAAGTGGACTATTTTGCTATTTCTTTAGAGTACCTAGAGTATTTCTGTACAAATCTTTCACCACACGGCGCCACAATGTACAGCTGCCTATATCAGATCTGACCATTTTGCTTATTAAAAACCTGCCGAGGGTGAATTGGGCTTCAGAACTCAAGAGGATTTTCTTCAAAATGTCCGAAAATGCCATTTTGGTAGCTGAATTTATACTTTTAACGCGCCGTTAGGTGGATAGACATACATAAAAATCAAAGTACTCATATCTATCAAATGGCAGGGCTTTACTTTCCTAAGCGTGAGTTGGATAACCCTGCAATCAAAATCGATAATGACGCTAAGAGCCAATGTGGAAGGGGTCCTAAGAGCTCCATTGATTAAAATGAGGCACACGCTCTAGCTTTCCGACTAACATAGTCGGAGAGTTAAGAGAGTACTACTCTGTGGCACCACATCACTGTGACGCAACAACTCTGTCACTGATCATGCCTTAAAAGCTCAGCTTCGACCCCAAGGTTACTAGAGATCTGACATCCTGGGAACGAAACCTTGCACAACAGAAGACTCGGAAGGAAAACCTCTTTGTTTTCTTGATTTCGGACTTAAAAGTTTCTAGT